GTTAGCCTGCAATACTGCATTCTAACCACTGCGCCACCAGAAAGAAGAATGAGAAAGGGAACAAGAGAGGGAGGGAGGGAGGGAGGAAGGGAGGGAGGGAGGGAGGGAGGAAGGAAGGAAGGAAGGAAGGAAGGAAGGAAGGAAGGAAGGAAGGAAGGAAGGAAGGAAGGAAGGAAGGATAGCAATAGCACTTGGACTTATATACCAGTTCACAGTGCTTTCCAGCCCCCCCTAAACGGTTAGCAGAGTCAGCCTCTTGCCCCCGAAAAATCTGGGTCCTCATTTGACCCACCTCGGAAGGATGGAAGGCTGAGTCAACTTTGAACCAGTCAGGATCGAACTGCTGGCAGTAAGCAGAGTCAGCCTGCAATACTGCATTCTAACCACTGCGCCACCAGAAAGAAGAATGAGAAAGGGAACAAGAGAGGGAGGGAGGGAGGGAGGGAGGGAGGGAGGGAGGGAGGGAGGAAGGAAGGAAGGAAGGAAGGAAGGAAGGAAGGAAGGAAGGAAGGAAGGAAGGAAGGAAGGATAGCAATAGCACTTGGACTTATATACCAGTTCACAGTGCTTTCCAGCCCTCTCTAAGCGGTTAACAGAGTCAGCCTCTTGCCCCCGAAAATCTGGGTCCTCATTTGACCCACCTCAGAAGGATGGAAGCAGTGGTGGGTTGCTCCCGGTTCTGTCCGGTTCTTTAGAACTGGTAGTAAAAGTGGTGGGAGGCTCCGTCCATCTGCCCGGATGTCATAATTGATGATCTGCGCATGGGCAGAAGTGCACATGCTCCTCCGTTGTGAACTGATGGTAAAGGTAAGTAGAACCCAGCCCTGGATGGAAGGCTGAGTCAACTTTGAGCCGGTGAGAATCGAACTGCTGGCAGGCAGGAGAATTAGCCTGCAATACTGCATTCTAACCACTGCACTACAACAATGCAATATAAGCAATCCTTGACTTACAACAGTTCATTTAGTGCAATGTTTCTCAACCTTGGTAGCTTGAAGATGGGTGGACTTCAACTCCCAAAATCTGGGAGTTGAAGTCCACCCATCTTCGAGCTACCAAGGTTGAGAAACACTGATTTAGTGACTGTTCAAAGTTCCAACGGCACTGAAAAAAGTGACTTATGACCGTTTTTCACACTTATGACCGTTGCAGCATCCCTGTGGTTACGTGATCAAAATTCGGCCACTTGGCAACTGATTTATATTTATGATGGTTGCAATGTCCTCGTGGTCATGTGTTACCTTTGGCGACCTTCTGACGAACAAAATCAACGGGGAAAACCAGTACTAATTTAACAACTGCAGTTCAATTTTTTCTGAAGATCTTCCTCTTTCCAAACAGTTTGTAAAACAATTTTGTTTTTATTAGTTTGGATGAAGCATGCTTTAAAAGTGTTTGATCTTATTGGGAGTAGATTAGAACCGTAACTATGACAGAAGGGGGAAATGACTAAATGCAACCCAGACAAGTTAATGTACAGAGTAAGGGCTGAATGTAATTTAAATGATTTCAAATTCAGCATTACCCTGGCCCCATCATCTCTTTGGAATCATTCCCTGAAGGCCAAGTTGGGGCTTTTACCATAAACAATGTTGTGTACTCTGCCCTTAGCAACAGTTGCTGAGAGGCAATTCCCCATTTTGGAAATATTTAAGAGGATTTCGTGCTGTTTCTGGTGGCCGGGTGAAAATTTCATTTGTCTAAATTGGACTTTCTCAACATGACCAGAGGTGGGTTTTAGCAGGTTCTGACCAGTTCTGGAGAACCGGTAGCGGAAATTTTGAGTAGTTCGCAGAACCGGTAGAAAAAATTCTGGCTGGCTCCGCCCCCATCTATTCTCTGCCTCCCAAGTCCCAGCTGATCGGGAGGAAATGGGGATTTTGCAGTAACCTTCCCCTGGATTGGGGAGGGAATGGAGATTTTACAGTATCCTTCACCTGCCACGCCCACCAAGCCACAGAAGCGGTAGTAACAATTTTTTTGAAACCTACCACTGAACATGACCCTCTGTGTGAGAAGATGGAGGAGTGTGTACCGATGGCCACTGTTCCACTGTGTGAGTATGGTGGGGCGGGCTGCGGTTCGGTGAAGAAGATGTGCTGCCATAGCACTACACAAACCCAGAGGAGCCGGAGATGGCTGCTACCAGGTGGAGAAGGGTGCAGAGATGACCCCCGTGGGTGGAACCGGTGCTGCAGGCATGTGTGCATACTTGCTATTGAGTATGAAATTTCTGAGATCTCATCCTATGTGGCCAGACTCCTCTGGAGGATAAGTCTAAGTGATTCCTGGAGTGATTGATGCTCAACCTTCCCTGACAGCTTCTCCATTGACTTTGCTTTTGTGAAGCCAAGAGAGAAGTTTGCAAATGGCGGTCATGCATATACAACTATCAGAAGTGCAAACATTGGATTGCAATTATGTGACAGGATTTCAGCAGTGGTGGGATTCAACCGGTTTGCACCACTTTGGCTGAACCAGTTGTTAAATTGCTGGCTGGCCCCACCCCGCCCCTTCCGGAAGTCCCCACGCACCCCATTTTGGCAAGTGCAGGGAGGCCTAGTAGGCCCAAAATGGGGGGTGGGTGTGGGGCTGCCCCCCCCAGTGGTCTGCTTTTGTTCCCAGGGCGCTGTAGGGAGGCCTTGTTGTGGTCCGCCAGCAGCCTGCGGAGCTGGCAGCAGAGTCAGACAGTGAGGAGGCTGGGGAGGACCATGGGCCAGTCCTGGAGTCTGGGGAAGGCTCGGATGAGGACTCTGCTTTGAAGGCCATCTGGGAGGGATGTGCTGCCTCTGGAGCCTCCAGAGTCAGACATCAGCGAGGCAGAGAAACAGGGGGAGCCTGTTCCCAGTGCGCGCATGGGCAGAGCTGCCAGAAGGTAAGAACAGTTAAAAACAAAAGGGACGACTCGGGAGTAGGGCTTGGAGATGATTGGCCCCTCCCATAAGACGTAAAAGAGGAGCAAAGGCACCTGGCCTTTGCAGGAAGCAACATTTGTTCATTCAGTTCAGCTTACAGCCTGAAGCTCTGTTTGATTCTGGACTCCATGTGGCTTTGCCAATTAGGTCTTTGGCAGCATGTCAAGGGAGATAAAGGTGGGTGATTATCAGCCTTATCCTGAAGGACTCTTGACAACTCTTTGGGACTCATCTGTGAATGAACAGAATTCACAGATGTTAAAATAAAAGAGGTTTTTGGGACTACTCGTGTGTTTTACTGACTCAGGAGGCCTAGGTCAGAACAGGCCTACTAGGCCCAAAATGGGACACCGGGGTGGGGGGGTGGGGGGTGTACCACCACCACCCCCTGCGGTCCATTTTTTTCTCCCAGGGAGGTGCAGGAGGCTGCGTGGGCATTAACATACTGCAATTCTAACTGTATTGTTGGTGATGATCATTTAAGCAATTGCTTTTCCTTGTAAGCTTCTCCAGGAATTTGTTGGGTTGAAGGAAAGGAGATAAATGAATCACGAATGATAGGATGTAGCCATTTTCCTACTTTCGACTGACCGAAATGACCCTACTGAAGAGAGGAAAGACTTAGTCACCAAGCCTGAAGACCGTTCCCTCAGGACAGGCAGTTGTGATTCAACTGACAGAACAGATAACCAGATTTATTCTGAGTGAGCAGTTAAGCAGGCGATTCTACTCCATGTAAAGCAGCAACCAGCTCACCCGAAGGTAGAGATATAACCAGGGTGGAGACTAGAGATCCCAAGGAAGCCAGAACATTGGTGTAGACACGTGATTGTTTCTCCCCCACGTGTAAAACAAAACACGCCTGGCCATCTGGAATCACTTCCACACCAATGATTTGTAAATATATTATACATAAAAACCCGGGATGGCCTTAAGAAATCCACTGTGATGCGGTTTTTAAGAATTCCATTCCATAAACCTTCCTTCTTTCTTTTCCCCTTTCATTTTAATTGCATTATTTTTCACTAACGAAGTATTTGAAACTTGGACAATGAAATCCTGCAAAGAGAGGAGACTAGAGGGGGAAAAAAAATCCTTCATGGAAACTTGAAGAGCAAGCATGGAAAGCAGAGACTTGGTACCTTCAGACCTCCCTCCATCTTTGGTCAGGACAAATTGTTCAAATTATATTGCTCAAGAGAATATGCTTTACAGCTGTCCGAAGGCCTCTTTTTGTCAAAAACGATGAAGGAAATTAAGAGTTGAAGCCCTTCAGACGTTGACAACAAAACACACAGAAACTACCAGAATTTTTCCAATTCCCGTTTGGAAAGGGCTGGATCCAAATAGATCTGCATATGCATTGTATTCTTGAAGTTTAAGAATGTAACCATCCAGAGGTGGGTTTCAAAGGTTCTGACCAGTTCTGGAGAACCGGTAGCGGAAATTTTGAGTAGTTTGGAGAACCGGTAGTAAAAATTCTGACTGGCCCCGCTCCCTTCTATTCTCTGCCTCCCGAGTCCCAGCTGATTGGGAGGAAATGGGGATTTTGCAATATCCTTCCCTTGGAGTGGGGACGGAATGGAGATTTTACAGTATCCTTCCCCTGGAGTGGGGAGGGAATGAAGATTTTACAGTATCCTTCCCCTGGAGTGGGGTGGGAATGGAGATTTTACAGTATCCTTCTCCTGGCATGGGGAGGAAATGGAGATTTTACAGTAATCTTCCCCTGAAGTGGGGTGGGAATGGAGATTTTACAGTATCCTTCCCCTGGAGTTGGGAGGAAATGGAGATTTTACAGTATCCTTCCCCTGGAATGGGGAGGAAATGGGATTTTGCAGTATCCTTCCCCTGGAGTGGGGAGGAAATGGAGATTTTACAGTATCCTTCCCCTGGAGTTGGGAGGGAATGGAGATTTTACAGTATCCTTCCCCTGGAGTGGGGTGGGAATGGAGATTTTGCAGTATCCTTCCTTTGCCATGTCCACCAAGCCACACCACAGGCACCATGCCACGCCCAGAGAACCGGTAGTAAAAAATTTTGAATCCCACCCCTGTAACCATCCCTTAGAAAACTGCCTCTTACTTGTAGGCTCTGACGTTGTATTTCTTCTCTGCCGGAAAGCCGAACATGCCGCAGACAACACGGGAATTTTTGTTGGTCCAGTTTTTGTCGCAGATCTGTTTCCAAGTACCCCCTTCTTTGACCTCCACGTAACCCTCCGTTACAGGGATGCGTTTGCGAGACGCTGAAAAGACGGCCCGTATTCGGACATCTTCTACTTTGATGTTTGTGTTCTAAGGAATGTAAGGAAGATAAGAGTTTCTGTTTTAGGCACAGGTCGCTGGAATATATAAAGGCCGGGGGGGGGAATCCTTTAAACCAGGGGTGTCAAACTCAAGGCCCGGGGGCCAAATCCGGCCTGTGGGGTGCTTAGCTCTGGCCCACAGTGCCTCTGCCAGCGAAAACGGAGTTCGGGAGGGCCACATGAGGCCCTCAGAGGCTCCATTTTCGACCGTGATAGCCTCCTGCAGCCCTCTGCCAGTGAAAACGGAGCTCGGGGGGCTGCACGGGCTCCGTTTTTGCTGGCAGAGGGCTTCAGGAGACCCTCACAGCTGAAAATGGAGCCCGGGTGGGCCGTCCATGGCCTCCCTGAGCTCTGTTTTTACTGGCAGAGGACTGCAGGAGGCTGTTGTGGCTGAAAACAGAGCCCAGGTGAGCTGAGTGACATCAGGCTGGCCACTCCCCCTGGCCACTCCCCCCTGGTCCCCTGAGGTAAAACACATCCCTGATGCGGCCCTCAATAAAATTGAGTTTTACACTCCTGCTTTAAACCAACCAACCAACCAACCCACAAACTCCCTTTAAAGTAGAGTTGTGAAAAGCTGCACAGTATTTCTGGCATAGCGCTTCATAGAAGTCACTAGACGTCTTCGAACAAATCACTTCCTCTCAACCCAACCTTCACTTCGACATTTTTTTCCCCCTTTACGTTTTATTGTAACGCCTTTGCTTATTGTGAGTCGTTGAGAGTCAGGTGACATAAATGCATAAATAAATAAATCTAGAAGGACCAAATATCACAGATGGATTCATCCGAACATGCGCTAAAATCAATCGATTTCTTTCCGGTAATGCTGGACAGAAAATCGTGGTTCTCCAAAGATTCAACAAATGAACAGATTAACGGAGTTGCAGGCAGGGATGAAATCTACTTACCGGTTCGGAAGTGTGTGCGTGCATCACATGCACGCACAGACCTTCTGCGCATGCACAAAACCTTCTGAGCATGTGCAGAAGGTAAAAACCACATTACTTCCTGGTTAAAACCAGGAAGTAATGACACCCAGGTGGACCTTGTGGATAGGGGTGAAATCTACTTACCTTCCTTACCGGTTCGGAAGCATGCACACGTGTCATATGCATGCACAGACTTTCTGCACATGCGCAAAACCTTCTGAGCATGCGCCAAAGGTAAAAACCACATTACTTCCTGGTTAAAACCAGGAAGTAATGACACCCAGGCGGGTGGTCGGAGCTTCGCTCCACCATCGCTACCAGATTGCCGAACCAACGGCTAAGATCGCTACCAGACTGAGAGATCTGGTCCGATCTGGGAGCATTTCACCCCTCCTTGTGGGTTATCTAGTCCAACCCCCACCCACCCAAGCAGGAGAATTTACACCATTTCTGACAAATGGCAGTCCAGTCTCTTCTCGAAAGCTTGCAGCGATGAAAATTTGGATTGCTGGATTCAGAGTCCAGAGTGCCCACCGTTCCACTTGTTGAATCAGGACTTCAGTTGCCACAACTATCTTGGGAGTTGTTGCTTAGCAGCCTTTGAGGGTCCCAGCTCCCCACCCTTCTGTTGTGGCTCCGTTGCCTGAGCCTGGGCTATCGACAGATGCAGACTCTGAGAGTGAGGGAGAGGAGTTGGCAAGGCCTCCCTCTCCAGGACCCTCCTCTCTGGCAATGCCTCCGGAGGACACCGAAGGCCAAGAGATAGGCCCAAAGCCAAGCACGTCCCTGCAGCCACAGGTGGACAGCGACGAAGGAGATAAGTGCTGGCTGGATCCTCGACAGCGGCGCAGGGAGAAGCGTGCGCAGCAGAGGGGAAGGCGTGCCAGAGATTAGCTGAGTCACTGGACCACACTCCACAGGGTATAAATGTGGGTGTGGTTGCCAGTTCAGTTTGTGACGAGCAAAAACTAGAAATAATCCATGATCTCTGCGTTACTGGACTTCTGACTGCCTTGTCGGACTGCATTTGGACTAATCCTTGTATTGTGGAAACTTTGCCTGCTTTATCGGAATGCTTGCAGTCTAATCTTTGTTTTGTGTGAGTAAAGTCTGAATTGGCAGCTAGCCACTGGGTTGCTGCCAGCTTTATCTTCAATGAGTTTTGTCGTGTGGCTTATTAACTCCGGGCCGTCTGTGGGGGTGCGTGTGGGGTACGGGGACAGAACACCTTCACACTTGTGGTTTCGTCTCGCTAAAGGTAGAAAAATTTAATCCATGATATTCTAAGACTCCTGTGTTTTGCTTGGGAGAACAGCATGGAGTGCTGAAACTATGAGTGGGGATGAGTCACAAAAGTGAGGTATTTCCATATTCCTGCCTACGTGAAACTTCCAGCAGAGTCAATCCCAACGGGCTCTTATTGGCTTTTATTGGAGAGGACTGAGCAGTCTCGGAAAAAATGCTCTTTGCTGCACCAGTAAGTAGCTAAAAAGGGAACTAATTCCAGAGAAGGTTTATGTACTTCTCTGCCACCCAGCAAGGCCGGGTTTCTATTTCATGACCTCAGGGCTGTGGAATCCTTCTCTTCCCATTTATAAACGCAATACCTCCGAAGGGCAAAAGGGTTTTAAATGCTTATTATAGAATAACTGGAAATCAAAGTTTTCAACGGAAGTTGGATTTCACCCAATCCACGGTTTCTCCGTGCCGGCATGCAATCAACAGAAAAGATGAAGCTTAAAAAAATATGATGAGAATTTTGAAAAATATATTCAATAAAAATCGGGGATGCCTGGACATCATAGTAAAAAGTACTAAATTGAAAATGAATACAGCAATAGAGAGAGATGGAAGAAGGTGTGGGGAGATGGAAGGAAGGGAGAAGGAGAGAGAGGAATAGAAGAAAGGGAAGAGGAGAGGAAGAAAGGGAGGGGAAATAAGAGTAGGAGAGAAGGTAGCTAGGGAGAAAGAAAGGAGGAGGGGGAGAAAGGAAGGGGAAGTAGAGAAGGAGTAGAGCTTCTGCGCGAGCTGCACTGGCTCCCGGTGGTCTTCCGGGTGCGCTTCAAGGTTTTGGTTACCACCTTTAGAGCGCTCCATGGCTTAGGACCTGGTTACCTACGGAACCGCCTACTACCACCAATAGCCTCCCACCGGCCAGTACGCTCTCATAGAGAGGGGCTCCTCCGGGTGCTGTCGGCCAAACAATGTCGAGTGGCGGCCCCTAGGGGGAGAGCCTTCTCTGTGGGGGCACCTACTATCTGGAATGAGCTCCCCCCGGAGATAGGGAGGATCCCGGATCTGCGCACCTTCCGCCGCGCTCTCAAGACTTTTTTATTCCATCAGGCGGGCCTGGTCTAATCTTTTCCCTCTTTTTTAATTATGTAAATTTTAATCAGTTTTTAAATGATTGGGGTGTTTTAATCTGTCTGGGCCAAATTGTCTAATTTGATTTTATTCTGTTTTTAAATTTTGTATTTATGTATTTTTACTGTTTTGGCTGTTCACCGCCCTGAGTCCTTCGGGAGTAGGGCGGTATATAAATCAAATAAAGATAAAGATAAAGAAGATAAAGGAGTAGGAGAGGAGGGAAGAAGAAGGTAGGAAGGATAAAAGAAGGGAGGGAGGGAGAGGAAAGAGAGGAGAAAGAGAAGAAAGATTGCTGCAAAACAAAAAAAAAATGAAATGGAAGAAAGGCAATCCCGAACATGTTTAAATGTATTAAGATAAAGAATGAATTATCAAAGAATTAAAAGAAAATACATCTGATTAAAAATGGAGAAATTAGAACTGGAGGGCAAAAGAAAAAAAATGTTGTTTATATAAACAAGCATAGAAATATTAAGGTATGATTAAAAAATAAGGAAAAAGAATACTTTGGCAGAAATTGTGAGTAAGTAAAATGTATTTGGATATGACAAGTTGTATAAGATGATATGATATGGCCAATACTTGGTTTCATAAAATATGTGGGTGGGTGTGAAGGAAAAAAAAAAAACACTAATAAAACTTGATTCAAAGAGATGAAGCTTGCGCTAAGCTTTCAACGCTGATTTTTGGAGCCAACAAGCGTCATTTAAACGAGACAACAAATGTGTAGATGAAATACAGCACATTTTCCATTTCAAAGCAATACTGGCTTGCCATGATTATAGCCTAAAACATTAAAAAGATATTAACAGCGTGGAGAGAAATGAATGAATACAATAAGAAATTGTATTCCTTTCTGATTTGGATCTTATATAGCTTGGATAGCTCATATACTGCTAGTCCTCGACTTACAACAATTCATTTAGTGACTGTAACACCGGCGCTGAAAAAAGTGACTCGTGACCGTTTTTCACACTTATGACCGTTGCGGCATCCCCATAGTCATGTGATCAAAATTCAGATGTTCGGCAACCGGTTCATACTTATGACGGTTGCAGCGTCCCAGGGCCATGCGATCCCCCTTTTACGACCTTCTGACAACCAAAGTCAATGGGGAAGCCAGATTCACTTAACAACTGTGTTACTAACAACTGCAATGATTCACTTAACAACGGTGGCAAGAAAAGTTGTTAAATGGGGCAAAACTCGCCGAACCAATGTTTCACTTAGCAACAGAAATTTTGGGCTCAGCTGTTGTTGTAAGTTGAGGACTACCTGTATTTTAGAGATTAATGGATGAGAAGATGACAGACTGAAATAATGTTGCCATCAAGAAATGGACAAAACAACATATAGACTTGAAACCAGAGATGTTTTTGTTGGGCATTCTACCTGTTCTGTCCCAGCTACGGACCCCAAAGAACGCAGCACACACAAACTTTATACAAAGCTTATTTACTCAAATAACTTAGTCTTTATCATTCAAAGGCTGTTAATGAACTGTCTTAACAGCCTACCAGAATTCTACGATAAGGTAATCACAGTCTTACTAGAGTTGGCAGAAAGCCCAGAAGCAATTTTGCAGACACGAAAGAGAGTGAACTAAAGTTGTTCTCTACAGCTTGTTGCAAGTGGTGTTCCATCTTAAATAGGCTAAGGCAGTGATGGCTAACCTTTTTGCCATCGCGTG